TTTTGCCCACCAAGATCCAAAAATTTAAATAGAGTTTTCAGTGTTTTTCACTCATTTCTAGCTTGTTTTCCTTTGGTTTGCTAAATGTTTTAGTGGATTACTTGTGTTCATTTCTCGTTTCTTCGTTCTAAGAAACATCCTTTCATTATATAAAATCATATGGCTCAGACGACGAAAATTCTCAAAACCTTTATATAACAAAATGTGAGGTCAGCTGAATGATAACGCATCGAGAGATAATATAAAGGCCAAAGAAAAACAAAACATTCAGAAGTGCTTGGGGGAATGTTCCTTTATTTGATTTCATATGGAGAAATATAAATTGGATCCGTCTGTTAAGACAGACACAAGAAAGTAAAGAAAAAGAGAAAAAGGCAATCAATCACATCCTGGAGATTTGGAGAGGTACAGTTGCAGTTTCGAGAATATCACTATTCCTCATAAGAGAAACAAGTTTGAGTTTCTCCCATGCCCCGAGACGTTCGAAGATATACCTTTGACAATTCTGGGAGGCCGAGACTCCTGCTAAGAAGGCTCCGTGCGCAGATCCTTGATGCTCGACGTTCACAGCTTCTCCTCCAAAAAATATGTTATCCACCGGCTCTCCTAACCTCGCATACAGATCTTCTGGCATCCCAACTACGTCATATGCATAACACCCCAATGTGTTTGGGTCTGTTCCCCACCGTGTCACTAGATATTGAGCCTGTTTTTGTTCCAACCAATATAAAGATATTTCAACAATATATATCATCTGCATCGTGCAATGAAGGTATTGAGGCAAAAGATGCTTACCGGGTCAGGTGCGTCGGGAAACATTTTCTTAAGTTGGAGCATCACGAAATTTGCGGTAGCCTCATTGGAGAGCTTTTCCAGGTCTTTAGCCAGATTCCCTGCAGCCATATAAATAAGCACTGGATGGCCTGTTGCCTTGTGAAGATTCAGAAAATAGCCACATGCATAAGAAGTCGGGGCCACCATCCCCAAGAACTCCACATTGGGCCAAAACACTCTGTCAAATCTCAGGGCAATCTTATTCTCATTGCCTACGCCGAGATCTGATATCGCAGAGGTCTTCCATTGTGGAAGCACTGGCTCAAATTGAATCAGATTTGCCTTGAGAACACCGATGGGAACCGTGATAATAACTGCATCAGCAACAAAATTGGTTCCCCCTTCGACTGCAACTGCCACCTTGTTATTAAATGTTCTTGATACTTTAGTAACCCTGTGTAAATCAAATTCCAAGCATACACATGATTACAATTTTCAGTAAGATTGCTGAATGTAACGTATGACCTCATAGTTGATTTTAATTACCTATGGTTCAACCGGATATCGATGTCTTTTGCAAGTGTTCTGATCACTGGCTCATAACCCTGGACCATTAGACCATGGCCACCTGACAGGCATTCATCCTGCACAACAATTTAACTACCTTTGAGGTTTCGGTTTTCCTCTAGAGTGTTTAGCTTTTGCCAATAAAACAGATTCACATACTTAGCTAATTAACCATCACTAACAGAGGCCAATTCTTATACATGGCGATTTTTCTTCAGAAAGATAGTGCCTAAAGAGGCTCATACATAAATAACCCTACTCAGACCAAATATAGAATAGAATGGTTCACTTGCCTGATCCCAACATTTTAGGGAAATCAAATTCGCATCTACAGCAAACCACGCCTCCATCCTACATATGTACCACTGTAAAACTTCGTATGCCATCCCTTGTTGCCTAGATAATACAAGAAAACAACAGAGATTATAAAAGATATAAATTCAAAAAGTAAAATTGTTACTCACACAATTTTTACTGTACCTTAGTTCTGGATTTCTTTCCAGGACGATGGCTATTCCTTGAAGAACTGACATGTCGTTGGCAGTTTCATCCCTTATTTTCTCCGTCTGAAATCAACAAGTAAGTAAGCAGGCAACTTCTCATGAAAACAGATGCTAGTTAGAAAGCTTAATCTAGCAAATGCAAAGATTACCTCTTCGAGAATTCTCTTAAATGCATCTCCAACTTCAGTGACCAATTGCGGAGGAATTTTATTCCCATGCATGTCATAAAGTCCATAACTGAAAAAAGAAAGCCAATTATCCTTGTAAATATTTTTATTTGTTTAAACGACCCTTGTAAATGTTTACAGGCTTTAAAATCAGTCAACGACTTTTCCCTGCTTGATCAAGCACATTCGGTTTTGAAACAGTTATCTAACTTGTTAAAGTAGAGCACCAGTGAGACTGATATAGAATTTAGTTCAGGTGTCAGATTGAGTCTATCTATTGGTTTACAAGTGAAACCGTAAGATCTAGGAGAGAACACGCTGTTGGTGTAAATCATAGCATTAACCAAGAGCTATCTACCCCATGGATCTATCAAATAAAACTACAGAAAAGTAAAGGCAGGAAAGGGTTACCTTTCCAGATCATGATCATACAAGATGGAGTCATCCCCACTAGTTCGGTATAAAGTCAGTCCCAGACGGCGGATAATGGGAGCCAAGGGGTTCTCGTCGGAGACTCCATGTAGCCTAGACAAAGTTTGATAAAGGGTTAGAAGGCTCATAAAAATAGAGGCTATTTAAAAAGTACACATCTCATTTTCATTATCCTTAAGATAACTTCACATTCCCGACCAACAATATTACAACTCCTGAATCTCCAAAAAACAGAGGCTGATGATGTTGCCTACTTCTCCAGACGTCCAAACAAGAATAACATTTGACATAGGGATAGACAAAACCAGCAATTAAGTTGAGAAAAAAAGTTGATCAAAACTCACCATGAAGCTCCCATATCAACTGGACAGCCAAATGAATAATCCGTATGGATACGACCACCAATCCTATCGCGTGATTCGAGAACAGTCACCTACACAAACAACCAAACAATTTTAAATTATCATATACCTTAAAGAATGTACACCAAAAATTTACATGACAAATCAAAAACAAGTTAACGTATCATTACCTTAAAGGATGCTTCCGAGAGATTCCTAGCAGCAGCAAGACCTGATATACCACTGCCAATCACGATGACAGAAGGCTGCACATTGTTCTGCTTCTGGATAAGCGCAGAGATTGTGCCTGATTGAAGGTTTGAGACATGTTAAAAAAATGCATAATTCTACACACATCGAATTCTACACTAGATTTTATATGAACCACACAAACTTGAATTCTGTTACAAATCAGAATCAGATTCCTGTATCAGGCAGCATTGTACAAATCCCCAATAATTTCAAATCCAGACATCAATTCAGAAGAAAAATACTTGCAGACCGATCCGATTTTATTCGACCAAGGAATTTTTATAATCTATCTGATTATTCAAATATGGACACTCGAAATCGCAATGCATGATACCAACAAAAGAATAGTCGCGGTTACCTTCAGGAAGATCATCGGGAAAGGAAATCTTCTTATCCATTGACAATTATAGGAACGAATCGAGGAAACAAACAGAGAAAATTCCGAAATACGTGAAACGAACGGCGACAAATTGCGCAGTGGAAAAATCAATTAGGGATGAAGATTAAGAAGGAATTTGAAAAAAAATCTGCAGAGATCGAAGGAGGAGAAGCAACGCGAAGCTTATAGGACCAGCTCATCGTAAAAACGCGTGATCAAATTATTCAATAGCAAGGATTCAAAAACGAATAAAACTTTGAGATTAGAAATTGAAAGACGACTAGAAAGAATGGCGTCGTTCCCGGAGATCTTGCAATTCCGTGATCGGTGCATTTTTTACTTCTGATCGGAATATTTTTTTTTTTGGTTT